ATTAGTTTTAGTTCAGATCGGTTCCAACTCAAACCAGATCCATTGGCACCTGTATTCTTATATAACTGGAAATTGATTGAATCTGACCCAACCCAACATAAACCTATTATGGATGGACCAGGTCCAATCCAATCCAGTAAATACTATGGACCATTAAGTCTGGACTGGTCCAATCAATATGTGTTATTGATTTCGATTTAGATGGATCCAACCCAAAACTAGTCTATTAACACCCCCTATGCATGAGATAGATTTCATCTTCCATTATACTCTGTTCAATGTCATGTCCATCAAATTATCAACCCTTAGACCAATTTTCATTCCTTCAAATTTCAATTCATGTCTGTTTTTTAATCTACCCTTAAGTCCTGTATCAAATAACTAAAAGGAAAAAGTGTAAGAGATTTGAATCCCTCTTGTAAATCCTTCTTTTTTTCCCGATTAATCAATAAATGAAAAAGGGGGCTGCACACAACGCCGGGGGTGGGGGGTTAGCACATCCCTACAAATCAGAACAGGAGATAGCACTTAGAACTCCAGGAATGAAGGAAAAGGATACATCATTTGAGTGTGCGAAGTTAGCTAGCCAATTTCAAATCTCCCTCTATGATGAATAACCCACCTTTGCTTCCCAAACAGCCCACGCTTCAACTAGATTAATGGATGAATAACCCACTTTTGCAAGCCTTGCTATCCAAGATCTGGCCATTATAATCTCTAACCACACAAGCTATAGTGCAATGACCATTGATGCAGGAAGCATCAAAGTTAATCTTGATCTGATCCAGATTCGGACTTATCCACCTAACTGGAAATTATTGTTTATCATTTACCCCACTCAGGTCTATCTCTATATTAGGCATAAATTCCAAAAAAAAAAGAGTTTCTAGCACCATCAAGGCATCAATGATAATAGCAGGGGGAATATTCTTTTTGCTAAAAACACTACCATTACGGTTCTTCCACAAGTGCCACAACAAGACGGCACATTTTTCCTTTTTAAATGGCTCCATTGTATTTCTCCCCTCATCACAGTCCAGGGACTTCCACCGATCTAGAACTGAGTTGTTAGACTCCACAGGCCCAGCAAGGGATTCACAAGTGGTAAACCACACTTTCTTGGCCAAGGTGCAATTCATAAATATGTGATTAACATCCTCTTTTTCGCCGCAAATGCTGCAAGAGCCATCAATATCAAAGTCGTTTATGAGAAGTCTTTTTTTTTTGTAGAAATCTTGACATAAAAACTATGTTTGGTTTGAAAGAAAAAATAGGAAAAGGAAAGGAAAGACAGGGAAATCAATACAAGATTTGTAAAGATCTTCCTACCTTTCCTTTCCTTTCCCTACATTTTCCTTCAAACCAAATATAACCTAAGGAAAAAATATATAAAAAACTTAATTTTTGGAGGGGTTTTCAAACCCTAGACTTTGTTAATTTCAATCAACACCCTGTTAGGGTTACCATTAATAACACAAGCCTCATTATAAGCCGATTTAATTGAGAATCTCCCATTCGGGTTGGGTCTCCAAACAAGCTTTATCTTCTTGGTTAAAAGAAGCAATAAACAAAGATTTTATCTTCTCCCATACTGTATTGGCAACTAAACATCTAATTAAGTCTTCCTTCCATATCTTCCTCTCCAGGTCCATAACTTCACTAACCCGAAGCTTGGGATTACTAATTCAACTAAAGTCGACCAATTTGAATAAAGGCTCCTCATCAGCCCATTGGTCAATCCAAAATCTTGTTGACTTACCATTACCTATAAACCATTCTGTACCTCTCTTTAACAAATCCCTAACTATGAGGATACCTCTACATGTCCATGATTGATTCTTCCTTTGTTTTATCTCCCAGAAATTTTCTCTTGTCAAGTACTAGCTTTCTGCTCACCACTTGAACTCACAAATTATTCATCTCATTCAATATTTTCCACCCTAGTTTTGCCAAACAGGCCTTATTCATCCAGTATAAGTTTTTAAGCCCAAGGTCACCCCAATGCTTGGAGGAACAAACTCGGTTCTAATTAACTAGGTGAAGGGGTTTTCTATCTTTACTGTTGGACCACAAGAAATCCCTTTCCTTTCTATGCAACTCCTATAAAACATCCTTAGGAATTTTGAAAGACTTCATTATATACGGAGGAATCATGTTAGAAGAGGCCTTAATGAGGGTTATTCTACCAGCAAGGCAAAGAGAGTTCCTTTCCCAACCAGCCAATTTTTCTAGTCATTTTCTCTTCCAATGAACTTGATAGTATCCTTGCCATATCTATTGTTAAAATCAAGAACCCCCAAGTATAGGCATTTTTTTTTGTCTTAAGAGGAATTCTGAGCATTCTTGACATTATTTTTCTCAACCTCGGGTGAATGTTCTTTAAATAAAATATTAGATTTAGTAAAATTTGGAGCTTGTCTTGAGGCTCTAGCAAATTTGTGAATGATTTCTTTTTTAGTAAGACAAACATGAAAGCTTGCCTTGGTAAAAATAATACAATTATCTACAAATTGCAAATAAGGATAGAAGAGCCATGTCTAGAAACCCTATAGCCAATAGGACTATCTAGGTTAGAGGCCTCCTTCATCAAATTCTTTGTAAGTGCTTCCACACACAAGACAAAAATATAAGGTGAAAGAGGGTCACCTTGCCTAATGCCACGACTTGGAGCGATCTCCCTCACAGGCACTCCATTGACTAAGATTTGATAAGCCACAATCTTAATACACTCCATTACCCAATCAACCCATATATTATGGAATCCAAATTTTCTAAGAATATTTTCTATAAAATCCTACTTTAGCTTGTCATATGCCTTTTCTATATCGATTTTACAAGCCATGATACCCATCTTGCCCTTTTTCTTTCTCATAAAGTGCATGATCTCATGAGCAATGAAAACACTATAAGTGATTTGCCTCTTTGGAATGAAATCACTCTAGAAAGGGAGATTATGTCATCAAGAAAAGGCTTTGTTTTGTTGACTTGGATTTTAGAAATTGTTTTGTAGATGACATTGCAAAAATTGATAGGCCTATAATTATTAGCTATTTTTGGGTTGGAGTTTTTTGGAATAAGAGTGATGAATGTTTTATTTAGAATTTTGTTCATCTTCCCAAAGTGGAAAAAGGCTTTAACCACACTACAAATCAAACTTCCAATTATTAGGTGTCCACGAAAGACCGAAAAACTGAACCGAACCAAAAAATGTAGTTAACTGAACTAATCAATTTGGTTTTGGTTTGGTATTTTTGAAAAACTGAAGGACCAGTTCGGTTTTCAGTTAACCTATAAAAAATCGGTGGTTAACCAAACCGACCGATATATATATATATATATTTTAATATAGGTCACATAGTTTCTATATATTATATATAAATATGTACATATACTATATTTATAATAATCTATTTATAAATGTATTGTATATATTATATATTTTTATAATATTTTATACATATATTTATATAGTATATATTATATAAAAAACCGGAAAACAAAAGATTTGAAACCGGTCAAAAATTGAAACCAACGGATCAGTTAACTAGTGGTATCGGTTTAGAGAAATGGAAAACCTGGTGATACCAATTCGATTTGCAAAAATTGCCCATGGTTTAGTTAACTAAACCATAGACACCCATACCAATTATGAGCTAATATTTTTTGAAAAATAGCACATTTAGTCCATCAAGCCCAAGTGCTTTGAGATCCTTTATACAAATTATTGTTTCATGGATCTCTTCATCAGAAATCTTCCTAATAATAGATAGAGATAACCTCAATAAATTCCTTAGGACTTCTTTATTTTCAGCTTTAAATCTTTTTTCAAAATTATTACTTAAGTATTCAAAAATATTATTATAATCACAAATCCACTCTCCATCACTTTTAACCCAATCTAGTCTTGATTTTGGGCCCAATGTACCTCCTTTCGAGCCAATATTGAAGTAAGATGCCTTTGGAGGGTAGTTTCTAAATTAAGTAGGGAAATATTAAAAGGATCATTCATTAAATTCAGTTGAACTTCCCCCCATTGTTTGAAAATTTGTTCCTTTAAATGAAAGATATTATCAAATTTCTCCTTGTTCCAAGCTTTTAAATTTTGAACAAGAATTAAAAAAAAACATTTGATGTAGCTTTCAACCCAAGCGTATATGTTTAGTTCTGTTTATGTATATTGACGGTGCCACACAAGCACCCCATTAGCAAATGCCTTATTAATTGCATTTGTATGTATCAAATTTTGCAAAAGCAAAATTCGGTTTCTATGTGTCTCTTCCATTGAAGCTTCCTGAAATGGATAGGCCTTTATTGACATTTTGCTGATGTGGTGCCTAATAGCGCCTATGTGTTATAAACGCTTTCATTAAATGTATTTCTTGATTTTGCAGTCACATAAATACAAACGTTTACCGAATAAACTTAAACAAAACCAAACACCCTCACCATCAAGACTTGCATCAACGCACCACGTTGCTTCGAACAAAAATGGCTTAGGCCTACATTAATAGCTTCTTTGGTTTGAAAGAGAAGCGGAGAATGGTCCAAAGCTTACAAAGGGGAGGTTAGTGAGGGAAGCATCAGGGCGGCCTCTCCTCCATAATTCATTAGAAAAGACCCAGTCGATTCTTTCTCTTGTAATTTTGTAAACCCTTCACCTTGTAACGAATCACAACAAATTACTTTGCCCCCAAAACTGTTAATTGGACAGCGAGATGGGCTTCTAAAAGGACAAATCTGTGCCCACACCATTCTAACAGCCTTTTACAATCTTGCATTAAGAATATGTTTATCGTAATACACGGCAAGGATGCCCTGTGCCCACAGCGCAGGTTGTCTGTGAAACGTAAACAGTAAAAAATTTGTTCCACTTGCTGTGAGAAAATCAGAAAACAAGAGAAGTTTTTTTAACGAACCAACTATTCGTGTTTTTTTTTTTGATGTTATGGTTTGAACTTTGAACTTTGAGGTTAGATTAACAAAAAGGATTTGAACTTTGAACTGTAAACTTCTGTCAACTTTACTGTTTTTTAATGTTTTAAAGGAAATATACCTACAATGTAAACTTCTACCAACTGTAAGTATAAAGCATGTTAGCAAAGTCTTTTTTTTTTTGGGGGGTAAACAATTTGCTTTTGTTATTTTTCGTGATTTGGTTCGTTTTCTTTGGAAGAAAGCTCTCGCTGGTTTCGTTTTCAGACACCCTTTTCACACTCCATTTTGCTTTAGTTTTCTCCTTTTATTTATTTATTTTTTCAATTTTATTTTTTATGGCTTTTTTGTTGGTTGGTGAGCTGATTCCTAGCTGCCATATGTTGACTTCTCTGCGAGCATGGAATGCAGGTCGCTCCATGGTTTCTGAAGTCCTTTTGGATTCTGGGTCTCCATTGAAAACCCTCCAGAATTGTTTTCTGCGTGTACGGGACAAGATTCTATTGAACTCGACCGTGAAGATAAAAGGTGAGATTTTTCATTTTTTTTTCTAAAATTTGATACATAAACTTGAAAATTGGATTTAGAGGGTCTGAATATGAATTTTCTGAAATTGGGTTATCAAGAAAGCTGAAAATTATACTATCTAAGGTTACTTTAATCCAAAATTGGATGGACTGATAAAAGAAAATTCAAATTTTGGTAGAACATAGATATTTGAAGAAAAACCCCAAAATAGGATCTATTTCCATGAACCTTTAGAAAATTAGGTTGGTGGTTTTCTTCAAGACTGATGAAGAAGTTGGCCGAGGGTTAAGAAGTCGTTTGATTATTTATTTGTTACTTTCTTCCGGTGAAGAAGAAAAAAAATATGCTTTGTATGTGAGTTTCAGCTTGCATTGCATAGGTAATTCTGAATTTCCATATTTTATAATTTTTTGTTGTTCTTTCATGGGTGCTTGAAGAAGACAATCATCTTTTTTCTTCTATGATTTTCTTCTTATTTCACTGAGTTTTTTTGGCCATTCGGTGTACTATATTACATACTTTTTTCAAGTCTACGTTATTTTTGTTATATGGTTTTGAGGTTTTCTCCTTTTGTACCTGTGGATTTGCAGAGGGGAAGTTAGCTTTGTAATTTTTGTTCTTGTCGGGATGAAGTGTTTCTATTTTATAAGTGGGGAGAAGAAGGATGAAGCGAAGACTTCAAAGTCCATTTCGACTAGGTCCTTTGCTTCAACTGATCGTGAGGTGATCAGATCTGGATCTGAGTTAAATTCAGAGAACATCTCAGAAATGAGCGTCGAATCAATGGGGAGGGTCCCATTTTCAAGTTTGTCTCAGAGGCCAACCAATCTCAGAGTGTTCACATTCTCGGAGATGAAGGCAGCAACAAAGAGTTTCAGCCGCTCCCTCATGGTGGGAGAGGGTGGTTTTGGATGTGTCTACAGGGGTATGATTAAGGACTCAGAAGATCCAAACGTCAGACTTGATGTTGCTGTTAAACAGCTGAGCAGAAGAGGATTGCAGGCAAGATTTCTTCCTGGTTTTCCTTCCTTTTAAAGTACTAAAGAATTTAAGATATGCCTCTATATGTAATGTAGATAGTACCTGATTACTACCTGTTTCCAAAGGAACCTGAAATATCAAACTTGGAAAAAAAAGGTCAGATGCTGGATAGTTGATTGAAAGAAATGTTTTTGGGGCAATCATGTACATTAGTTGGTAAAGGCCACGATGGAAATGGAACCATAAAGTGGATCCAGGTTGCCATCGTACTGTCCAGGCTCGGCCCCTGTGAAGATTGGTAATATAGGTTCAAATCCTTGAAGATGTTCAGGTGTCTGTCAGCTGGTAGTTGCTTTAAGATGTTTTATCTTTTGAAGCTAGTTATGATATTCTGACCTATGGCTACTGCAACCATCTGGGGTCTTGGGAGGGGTGGGCTGCATATGGACCTGTCCTTGAGCATTTTCTTTTATAAAGTAGATCAAACCAGGCCCAAGGTTTTACCATTAAACCAAGCAATGGCCCCTTGTAGTGTTTACTTAATTCATCAATGGAAACGCTTCCTGCTTTATGGTTTCGGATACTTTTGAGCCTGGTTCGATTGACTTAAAAGTTTTGTCAAGACCAACTGAAAATAAAATTAGCATGTTCAGAATATTCTTTTTCCTTGGACAAAGAGAAAGAAAAATGCATAAACTAGTTTGTTCCTTCTTAATTAGAGTGTCTTTACCCGGCTATCCAGGGTCTTGGGATGGATGCACTGGATATGGACCTGGTCTTTGGGATTTTCTTGCATGAAGTTTCTGTTCTCAGACTTGAACCCACATTCCTGTACTTTTCAGCCACAAAGAATGACACTTTCTATTTTGTTGTTAATTTATCAATGAAAGTGTTTCTTGCTTCATAGTTTCTGATGTATTTGTGCTGGATTTGATCTTCTTAAAATTTTGTTAGGACCAGCTGTAAAAAAACATGTGTGGAATATGATTTTTTGGGGTTTGGGAAAGTGGAAACTGTTTTCCTATCTCAATTCCCTTCCTGAAGAAAATAATGATCATGTCATGATGATGATGATAACTAGTAATTACACAATTTTTCTCTTTAAATATTAAGCTTTATTTGGAATACTTTACTTATCATTACACCTCTTATCAAACAGGGGCACAAAGAATGGGTGACAGAAGTAAATGTCCTTGGAGTGGTTGAACACCCAAACCTTGTTAAATTGATAGGCTATTGTGCTGAGGATGATGAAAGAGGGATACAGAGGCTTTTGGTTTATGAATATATGCCAAACAGAAGTGTGGAAGACCATTTATCAGGTCGGTCACCTACACCTCTTCCATGGGCTAAGAGACTGAGAATAGCACAAGATGCTGCGCGTGGTTTAACATACCTCCATGAAGAAATGGATTTTCAGGTATTTCCATTTTCTCCCTGTGGCATCTCTTATAAAATTTTGTTAGGTTGGGTGATTATGCATTTTTGTTTAAAGATATCTTACAAAGTTGTATGTCCTTGGTGATCTTTTCTGTGTTAGTGGGGTTAGATTTTATCTGAAGTTTACTGTTTTGAACTTGCAATAGTGGCTAAAGTTTACTTGGTGATCTTTTCTGTGTTAGTGGGGTTAGATTTTATCTGAAGTTTACTGTTTTGGACTTGCAATAGTGGCTAAAGTTTACTGTGGTGCTTCATATGTGCAATGACATCTTTTATTATACTTGAAACAGATCATCTTCAGAGATTTTAAATCTTCAAATATTCTCTTGGATGAACAATGGAATGCAAAGCTTTCAGACTTTGGATTGGCCAGGCAGGGTCCTTCAGAAGGATTATCTCATGTCTCCACAGCGGTATGTTCTCAAAATTATGAATGAATACTCTGTAAGAACTATATATTCCTAGGTTATACTGAGTTACTGATTGTACATGTGACAGAAAACCATGCTAAAATGCATTTAGAAATCACAAGCAGTTTCCACCTACGATATTTCCAACAGCTTCTTCCATTTGGATAATTCTAATCATCAAGACTGGATATATGATCATACATTATATTTTAAATGTGAATAGTAGATTGGGTGGTCGTATCCATGCAACCGAGTGAATTTTTGGCCAACAAGATATTCTATTTAGAAGTGTTGATTAGTGACCTAAAATTCCTTATCTCCTCTGTTTTAGTTGTTCCTTGTCTTACACTACTGGTCCTAAGCCCAGGTAAAGGAGGGTTGTATCAGGTTGGCAGTTCAGCATAAACTTTTGCAAAAACTCTTATGTAGCTAACCCCATATAGTTGGGATAAGGCTTAAATGATGATGATGATGTGTTAAATCATCTAAAAATTGTATCTTTTGTATAAATTGGACGGGTTTGTTCATAAAAGAATTCCATTGGTCTCATCTCAAAACAGGTGGTTGGAACAATTGGATATGCAGCTCCAGAATACATCCAAACTGGCCGCCTCACAGCCAAAAGTGATGTGTGGAGCTTTGGTGTCTTCCTGTATGAGCTAATCACAGGTAGGAAGCCAGTTGACCGAAACCGCCCCAAGAGTGAACAGAAATTATTGGAATGGGTGAGGCCACACCTGTCTGACATGAAAAAGTTTAGGCATATATTGGACCCAAGGCTTGAAGGGAAGTACTCCCTCAAGTCTGCTCAGAAGCTTGCAGCTGTTGCAAACCGGTGCTTGGTGCGGCATCCAAAGACACGCCCCAAGATGAGCGAGGTGCTGGAGATGGTGAAGAAGGTTGTGGAGTCAACAGAAATGGGGAGTCCTGAACCCGCTATGAAGAGTTTGGCTCCAACAGATACTTCTGCAGAACCCAAAATAAAAGGATCCAACTTGAAGAGGCAGGTTGTGGATTCAAGAGTGGGAGAAAGTGGTTGGTCAGCTTGGCGAATGTGGAGACCAAAGCTCATAAGGACATGCTGACAGATGAGAAGATGAACAGTGAAGGTGGATTGGCACTAGTTCTGTTATACTTGGATGTAAAGGCTTACAAGAGATAAGAAGGCTCTATCTGGTTTCCCACTAATGCTGATGATGGATGTAACATTCACTGCAAATTTCTGCTTTTTGTTCAAGGCAGCATGGCAGTACGTAGAGAATAGAGAGTGGCTATTTTTTATATAAATAACAAATGAAATGAAAGATGCCTCAATCAGGGATTTGTTACTTTCTTTTGTAGTCCCAAGATGTGTATAGTAACTTATTGATCTATAGCTAAATGCATGATGCCTACTGCTAACTATTTTATTTGTGAATATATGACTTGTTTGTGATGCAAAGTAACCAGTTGTAATTTACTTGCAATTAACTTCTGTATGATCCAAAGGAAATGCCTGGGCACTTGGGCAGTTCTCTAGGAGTTTTCATTTGACCATCTAATATAGTAGTAGATTGCATAGCTAGTCTCTCAGGGACACTCAGTGAAAGGTTTTATTCCAATACAACCGTCTGTAACATGTGAAAGATTTTATGCCAGTTCACTGTCTGTAACATGTTCCCATGAATATTCCCCCAAATTGGTTTATGTATTGCAATTCAACCATAATCCAGCTTAACACACCCAAATTAGTGAATTACAGTTTTAACTGGGAACTTCGTTTTTGTCCAAACCAATAATGGACTGGAGGTCTGGGCTATTTTTGGTTTCAAGGTTAATTATTTATCGAGTGTTGCATTGAATTAGTTTGCCACATCAACTTTTCTGCATAAACGGAAACTTAAAAAGAAAAAGGTTGAACTTGAAGTGTAAACGTCATCCCAGTCCCAAGCAAACACCAAATACCATCATAGGTAGTCTTTGGCATGGTTTTCGAACCGCTGTTGATCCAGATGGTTGGACCGTTTGGCCTAGGAATCGTCCAGGCAATCAGCTCCGTTTTACCTTAAATCCAGTCTTGGTAAAAAACCGTTGAATTGGTCAACGACTTGTTGACTCAGATAGTTGAATTGTTGACTTGTTCGATTCATTCAATGGTTTTTGGCCGTTTTTATTTTAATTATTTTTTTATCTGAACGGGTCATCCATTTGAACTGAACGGTCGAGCCTCAACCCAGAAACTGGTGGTCATAATGATTCCACCCAAAGATAGAAACTGCAATTTGTATTGATCAACCAAAGGTTTTGGGTAGAACGAATATGTCTCTCACAAATTTGTTTTGATCAACCCAAAATGTTTTGCGTAGAAACAGCAGTGATACCAAGTACAGTTAATTAGTCTTAATTAGCTGCTTTTACAATGTCACAGAAGCTGAAAAGCAATTTGAAAAATGTATTGTCACATCATGTTTGGTGCAGTGTTGCATTTTGGTTGATCATTGCAAATTTGTAAAAAATGTATTTGTCACATCATTTATATTAAAAAAGTGCATTTGTGACTAATCATTGTCAAATTTTACATTTTATGTAGAAATAGCAATTTATATGGATAACTCGAAATGATCATAAAACATGTAGCACCTGTAGTAAAAAAAAAGATATGGGCGAATGATATCTTTGTTCATATCTTGTTAAACGTCAAAGTACACCTTATCAAATGCAAAAGTATTCTTTGTAAAGCATGAACCAATGAAATGTAAAACGCCTTCAGCATGATTGGTTGAGATGTAGATTTACATGCAACCAATATCAGTGAATGTACCTAGTTGAACTCTTAAAATATTTCAGATAGAAAAATCTCATAAATTTGTATTGATTAATCCAAAAGGCAACACAATACCATTATATTAAACACTCTTTCAATTAGGAATGCAAACGGATTAGATCAGATTCGAATCAGGGTATATTTGAATTCGATGCAAAGATTTGATCAAATCTGATAGGATTTGGTTTGAATTTGAATCCTATTGGTAAGTCAGATCTTTGTATCTGATCTGATCGAACTTGTTTTCTTTAAAAATTAATACATTATTAAAAAAAAATATACTAATTTAAATAAAGTAAAAACCAAAAATACAAGTATTTTTTAATTATTTTCATCATATATATATGATTTTTATAAATAAATAAATAATATAACAAATTTATAAAAATATAATGTAAAATATATTTATAAATAAATAAATAAATAACATATATATTTATAAATGTAATATATATAGGATTGGATAGGAGTGACCCGAATCCGATCCAATTTCTGATTGAATCCTATGATCTGATCCAAAAATCCGAACAGGGGTGATCCGAATTCAACCAAATAGGATCGGATCGGATCCATTTGCACCCTTACCTTCAACATATTCTGCATTCATACAAGACTTGAAGTTCAGGAAAACGACATCACAGGCCAGATTTGTGGTTTATGGATATTTAAATTCCTATATTGAATTTGATTGAAACAAAGGAATTATCTTACGTGCCCATAAATGCTGAAGAACTGACTGGCTCTTGGGTGATGAGAGCAAGACGTTCCATAAGGTCAAGAATCAAATCAGCTTCTCTTATCTAATTCTCGTGCCATTAGAAATGCAAAACTGCTGTCTCTCCATTGTGTGATTTACAGGTGATCCATCCCTATTACTTGTGTAATCCTTTCTCCAAAGATAAATTTATATGTTAAACTTGTCTGTTTTTGAATGCTGAAAGGTCAATGGATTAGAGAGAGAGAGTCTGTGTTATCCTGGGCAGCTCGTCCTTACATGGACTCGGGCTCTAGGCCTATCAGGCCTATAAGCTTTCAGCCCAGGGCTGTGCTATGGGCCTATTGCACAGCTTCAATCCAAGACAAAAGAACTAGGCCCAGGTATAGAAATTTGTTGGCCGGTCTAGCAATAATCAATTGATCACCCAACCAACTTTCAATCAAGCAGTTATACCCATGTAGGTTTCACGTATTCCAGGCCCACCCTGTAGTCAAGAATTTCCCTCAAATCATTTGCACTTTCATATCATACTTTTGCACAATTGCATTGCAAACAAATCAAGCCTTAGAACCGATATTGCTTTCGGTCTCAAAAGTGAAAATAGAAGGATACAGATTTTGGTCTCACAAGTGAAAATGGAATGGATATGGCTTTCGGTCTCAAAAGTGAAAATAGAAAGATAAGCTTTTGGTCTCAAAAGTGAAAATGGAATGGGTATGGCTTTCGGTCTCAAAAGTCTTCTTCAAGGACCTGATAACTTGGAACCTTTTAGGCTTTGTTTGTTTGTAGACTTATAATGCATCTGTTTGAAACCACGATTTTCTCTCTTACTTGATACAAAATTTATACCTTTGTCTCACTTACACTCATTGACAGTACAAATTTTGCATCCCAAAAATTGATGCAAAATTCACACCACCTTCAACTTTCTTCATATATCATCTTCCTTCCTAACTCACTCCCAAATAATTAACTTTCTTCATATATCCATTCTCTTGTATAAAATGAAAACCCCTTCAACTTTACTTTTCTCACAAACAAGTAAGATAAAGTTGATCTGAAGCAAAAATAAATCAAAATTTACACTCAGCCTATTTGCATTCCCATGCATTTACACTAGTGTAAATGAAATTCATATATGTGGATATACTTGACCAGAATGAAGAGGGGTCCAAACCCAACAATGGAGGGACCCTCTACCTGACATAAAAAAGAAAGGAAAAAGAAAAGGGAGGAAAAACATATAATGGTTTTCTGCAATCCTTCAAAGAGAATAAAGTCAATCATGCTTTAACAATCATCACATCTTGTGAAGTGGAAACTCCTTTTTTTCGCCTTTACATTCTTGCTTCCTAGTCACATGTGTCTTCCACTAGACAAGTTTCCACATGACTTTCCCCTAATGTCCTACTCATGTCATGGTCTAGTTTCTATAGAACAAGCATACTTGCTTCCTAGCCACGTATGTCTTCTACTTGACAAGCTCCTTAGGAATTTTGAAATCAGATGACTAGCCTCCTAGTCCTAGGAAGGGTAAATTACTTAAACATCCCATTGGGTTTCAATGGAAGAAAATGGGGTACAAATGACCAAGAGAATGATCAAGATAAAAGGGAGGTCGTATTTGGCCAGACAGTGAGCAATCTTGTTTCCTTCTCGCTTGATATGGGTAACCGAGGAGGTGAATTCTCTTAGGCCCTCTTTGGTTTGCAGGAATAGGGGTCTGGAATCGGAACCGGAATAGCCCATTCCTATTTCCATTCCTGCTGGAATGGTATTCCCCCGTTTGAGGGAATGACCATTCCCTGCCCTTCTCCTGGGAATGAAATCTCATTCCTGCTGATTCTAATTCCCATTCTCATTCCTGTCTCAATTAGGAGTGAGCATTATTTGGTTAAAACCAAAATATTGAACCGAAAATTTCGATTTAGAAATTCGGTTATTTCAGGTTTTAGAAATTTTGGTTTTCAGATTTAGAAATTCGGTTAACCGAAAAAACCGAATTAACTAAAATTCATTATATAATATATATATATATATATATATATATATAATATACAATATATAACATTTAATATATAATATGTTATATATTTATATTAATATATTATATAATGTATTATAATGAAATTAAATTTCATAATATATATTATAATAACATATATTTATAGGTTATAATATATAATATTATATATATATATTAATTAAATTCAGTTTTTAACCAAAATAACCAAAAACCAAACAAAAAATTTCAGTTCGGTTATTTTGGTTTTGGTTCAATTTTCATTTTTTATTTTGATTTTAAAAATTTCAGTTTATTTGATTCAACTTTTAACCGAATAAACCGAATGCTCAACCCTAGTCTCAACCAAGCAGATTATGGGAATGTATCATTCCGATTCCGACCGTGAACCAAATGAATCATTGGTAATTTACTGCAAACAATGATAATGAGGCGCACTCACCAAGGTGGTTCCTTATTCTTCACCAATAGAAAAGAGACAAGGGTAAGAGAACCACTCTCCAAAACAATGTGAGAAACGCCAACCTCTAAAGCAGAGCGAAGACTCTCCCACATGGTTAGAACTTCAATCTCCATGGGCGATAGACAATGTGCAACATGACTTGTCCATGGTTGAAGAGACCAATATCTAATGACTAATGACTTGTATCCCCTTTGACCATGAAACCATGTGATCAAGAGAAGGATCAAGATAAGGAGAGGCCTTGTATGGCCAGATAGTCAGCAATCCTGCTCCCTTCTTGCTTGACATGGGTAACTGACGAGGAGGTGAATTCTCTTAGGATCCGTTTGGTTTATAGTTGAAATTGGAATTAGAATCAAAATCCTCTAGAATTGGAATTGGAATGGTCCATTCTTATAATCTATTTGGTTTAGATAGAAATGTGAATGAGAATTAGAA